GACCATGAAGATTTCTGCAGGACAGAGAAGACGGTTGAGTGAGAGCTGCTCCTTTTGGGGGGGAGGGGCCACGCTCTGTTGCAGATGATGGGGAAGTCGGGATGGTGTGCCAGACAGGGTGAGAGGGACGTGGGTTTGGACTTCAGTCCGTTTCTTACCCCACCGGACGGTGACGGGCTCCGGGAAGCTGGCGTGCTCCACCTGGCAGGCGTAGACGTCTCCCCGCTCCGGCTGGGCCTCCAGCATCACCGCCATCTGGAAGGTCCAGTCCCCGTTCCGGATCAGGTCCGTGGTGAACACTCGGTTCTCATTTTCCTCCTTCCCGTTTCGGAACCAGGTGATTTTGATCTTCGAGGGGAAGAATTTGTCCACGGTGCAAATCAGCAAAATGTTCTGGGCCAAAGAGCTCTCTGAGGGGGCGATCTTCAGCGTGGGTTGAACTGGAGAGAAAACGGGAGGGGGAAAAAGAGAATAAAAAGGGTACCACGGAGTGACGTCTTAGCCCCCAAGCTCTTTGGCAGCTCTGCAGTCTGGATATTGCTTCGCTTCATCATCCCAGTCTCTCTTCATGGAAATTAAGGGTTATTTCTAAACTTAGTTACATTTATGTTGGTTGACTGTTATCATTGACATGCAAGGGAGATCTTCAAAGGGTACAGTATATCAACCAGGAAGGGTTAATCCTTCTCATCATCATCACCATCAATCATCATCATCACCAGCACATGCTATGAAGTCAGTTCTGTCCACAATCTGTGAAGGGAACCGTTTTCCAGGCAGGGAGTACATAGAAGTGGTTTCCCCTTCACTTCTGGGGAGGGGCATTTTCTGGGACGTTGCAGCTGGCCCAAGGCCACCCAGGCTGGCTCTTCTCTCAAGGAGACCCAGTGGAGGAACTGAACTCCCAACCTGTGGCTCCACAGCTAGAGAGCTCAACCAATGAGCTCTCCAATCTCCTGTTCAATCCACCTCACCCTCACAAAAGCTTAAAGCTCATAATTGCAACCTTCCCTGGATTGTTAATCAAACTGGGTGACTTGAGGGGGGAGAGAGAGAGAGAGAGAGAGAGAGAGAGAGAGAATATCCTCCAGAAGGACCAGGTGTCTCCCTCTGGGTGTTTGGAGAAGGTTGGGGCTCTCCAGGCTCCCACACAACATAAAACCACCTCTCCGTTTAACACAATGTCTAGGATGATGTCCTCCCTCCCTTGGACAGCTCTGTGGTTGAGGTCTCTGGCTGCTGAGCCAGAGGTTGGGGGTTCGATTCCCCTACTTGGCCTCCTTGAGAGGGGCTGGACTGGATGGTCCAGAGGGTCCGTCCCGGCTCTGCCCTTCTAAGATTATTGCTATTGTAGTAAAGAGTATTTATTTCATTGTAGAAGAGGTAGTCGAGTCAATCTGCCCAAGCCTTACAGGTTAAAAAAAAAGAATAAACAAAAAAGGCAAGAACACGGAGGCGCCTTGAAGACCAACTGTTATCTTTCAGTGTGAGTTTTCGTGGACAGGCCCACTGCTCCAGACAAAAGAGAGAATAATACCGTGGCAAACATTGATACATGGCATCAGAATACCATGCATAATGATTACATTAAATTAAATTTACGTTGATTTAATTTGTTGTACAGTGGGCACAGTGACATTTTTCTGAATGGGTGGTATTTACAGTATATTGAAAAAATAAATAAATCAATCAATCACTTCTGTCCAGTGCACATTATTAAGAAAGGAGCTCCTGGCGCCCCCCTCCCTGCCCCGTTCACGCTCCCTCCTGCCCCGCTTGCCCTCCCGCCGGGCACCCGCTTACTCTTCCTCCCCGAGGCGAAGCTCTCCGCAAGACCGTAGTTGTGGCGGCAGAAATAATCCGCGGCCCTCCGCGCGTCCTCCAGGAGGTCCTTCTGGCTGTTCCAGTATTGGGCGTCGGGCTCCCCGAGGGTCGTGACGGCCTCGAACTCCCCGCGGTCGCTGTCGAAGCGGACGATCTCCTGCCGGCAGAAGGCGAAGCGGACGAGGAAGCGCACGTGCGGAGTTGGCCCCGATCCGGCCTCGCTCCCATTGGACTGGAAGGAGCAGTCGCCGATCCTCTGGAACACGAAGTGCGCTGGGGGGTGATCGGGAGAGAAGAGACATGGGGGGGTCACTAGGAGGGAAGGGGAGACCCTTTCCTGCACCCCCCCACACACAACCAAGGAGGGCGGAAGGAGGGGCTGGAAAAGGAAAGGGGTCAAGAGGGCGACCTTTGGTGCCAGGCAACTAGGAAATGGGGCAGACCGCGGGGAGGGGGTGAGGAGGGAGCAGGAGGTCCGGGAAAGGGACTTCAACCATCCTGGCTTCGACGCATGCACGCCTGGGCGGTGCTCTGTGCCTGCGCAGGTGATCCTGGGGGGGGGCGTCCCAGAGCTTAAGTCTCTTAAGACCCCTCCCTGCGCCCCCCCCCACACGCACACTCCCCAAGGGGGGGGAAGGAAGGAAGGGCTGGCGAAGAAGACGGGAAATGGCGAACTCAAAAGAGATGGAGGGGCTTCCAATACTGACTGCAAAGGGTAGGGGGTAGGGGCGGGAAATATCACCTGTTTGGGAGAGGGGGGGTCTCATTCACACTCGTCCCCGTAGGTCCCATCACGAAGCAGGGAATGCGAATCAGCCCAGAGTCCGTCCTCTCCCCCCCTTCCCCCTCCCCACTCCTCACCACAGATCATCCCCCTTCTTGAAAGGGAGCCTCCTTCCGCTTGGCGGGGATCGCTTGGGACCGGTGCAGACGGACCAGCCCGAGGGGCCCACACTCGCCCACCCAAAGGGGGTCTCTGGCAACGCACGCTCCCCCGTCCCTCGTCCCACAAGCCGCGCATGCACACGCCCGCACAGAAAAGCAGGGCCGGCTCTCCTCCCGCANTCCTGCACGCGCCCTCAAAGAAAAGGAGGGCCGGCTCGCCTCCCGCAAGGAACGCTCCCGGGACAGCGCTTTTGTTTTACGGGTTAAGAAAAGGAGCGGGTCCCACCTCCCGGAGCCAGAGTCCCACCCCCACCCCCACCCCACCCC